CGTTACTTTATTTGGATGATATTCTCTTATCTCCGTGGCTGTTGATGCTTATCATAAAGCTACTGCATTTCCAGATAAAGTACTGAAATAAACCATTGCAAAGAAGGGAGTGCAAGTTTCTTTTTCTAAAGTAATTCCCCTCTTAGTAATGATTTGTATTGGACTGTGTTTTAGACACAGCAATGAGAAAAATTTGGAGTAGTTAGCGTGATGTGTTATAGAAATAACCAGCCAGCACATAGAGTTGTTGTGTAGCCAGCTGAGAGCTGTGTTCTTTTTTCACACAAGGAAGGAAAGGTTTAATTTATTGTTCCTAGGGGTAAAGGGTAGAATTTATAGCAAAAGGCTAAAAGGGTGTGAAAAGAGGATCCCAGTCCCTTTGCCTTCTGCTCCTTGATCTCCTCCTTGATGCCAGCCTCATTTCTCAGCGTGCTGAATTCAGGAATTATAAATCTAAAGGGGTTATACTCTTATAACTTTCAATAGCTGAAGGCTGTGGTTTTACAATGAGGGAGTTCCTTTAGTTCCTTCCAGTTTGAATCTATGTTAAGATTCATGCAAGGGAAGAACATCTTCCTAACAGCCTCTAATGCCTGTTAGTATTTTCAGCTGCCATGGGTTTAAATGCTGGCTAGCCTTTAGTGGTAACTGAAAACATACTGACTGAATCAGACATGACAGGGATGGATGGCTGGCTGGCCATCTGACCCACTGTTTTCACCTTAATTGGATGAGCAAATTAAGGACAACGATTACTAGATTTATAAAAATTGTGGTAGCAATGGTGGTGTGCTCAGTTGCATTTTTATCTTCTTGCTGGTTTTGGGGATGCTTCTTAAAAGCATTTTTTTTTTTCCAAGGATGCTTCTGTGAGCGTGGTGAACTTCTAGATGTGCAGGGAATGGTTACCTTGTGAGGAAAGACAGTGTATTCCATAATTTCCAATATGTAAATAAATCTGGGGTTTTTTTTGCCAGTTTAGTTATATTGCGTGCATTTTTATAATGTTTTCAGACTGTCTTGCAGTATTTCTCCCTTGTGGCTTTTCTGGCTTCCTGACAAGACAGTAAACGAAGTAGAATTGCAGAATGATTTCTCTAGGCTTTCAGTGGCATTTGAAATATCTCTTATAGCCACCTGTTAGAACATCTAAAGAAAATCATTTTTGTTAAATGATATGCTCTAAATATTATAACAATTTCAAGGAGTACATAGGGAGTGTTACAGTGGGAGAAACCAAAGCAGATACAAAAAAATTAAAAATGCCAAAGACTATAATTGGAAGATACATAAAGGAGGATGAAATGCTAGAAATATCTGTTTTATCAGTCAGATGGTGAGCTGTGACCAACTTTTCTGTCAGTAGTGCTTTCCTCCTTGCACCTGTTGTCCACAAAAGAGGAGACAACAAAAAAGAGGATATAATAAAAATGACAGGTGCAATCAAACATGATCTGTCTGAAGGAGGAGGTTAAACTGTATGGCTTCTTCTGAGCATTTGAAATTTAGCAGCATATTAAAGAGAAGGCTGAAGAGGATAGGCTGAAAAGATATTTTTTAATTATTATTACATAAGAATAAGGAGCCATTCAATTAAATTCAAAACAACAAAGTTAAAATTGATAACAGGAAACGTTTCTCTTTGATTATTGTTCACAGATTTTTGCTACAATGTGCCACTGATGCAGGGAAAGAATAAAGATGCCAAGCTTAGGCCAAGAATCTGGCAAAGTATGCTTTTCCCCATGGTTGCTTAGGGAATATTTGGCAATAGGGTTGGCACCAAACTTCTGAGGCTGTGGAAGGAAGAGGGAAAATTTCTGGCCTGTGGCGGATAAAGAGTACGTGCACAACATGTTGGTACTGAGAACACACTTTTTACAAGCAAGGGAGAGTTTCTTTCTTTTTAAAATTATATGTTTCTATTGATGTTGCTTAGTATGGAAAAGAAAAGCAGAGAAAAATTGATATAAGAAGAAAGAAGAGTTGTGGATGTGAGTACAAGCTGGTGTGGCACGGGGGTACCCTAGAAAGCCTGGCACCCCTGGCTCTATCACTGTGCTGAGGAGGGAGGGTGGTCCCCATCCCTGATCTTCCAGTGACCTCTTGGATATAGTTTTCTGGTCATGGTAGTGATATGTTTTTACTGTTTGGACTGGTGAAGTGAAAGAAGTCTGTGGATAACCAATGTCAGAGTGCATTTGCCTGTCAGACTGTATTTAATCTTTTCTTGGATTAGAACAGATTGTGTATTTATTTTTATTTGTATTATATTTGTATTATAACCATCGTATGACTTAATTTGTAGATATAATATTTATAAAAGAAAAGTTATCACTACAACAGGAGTGCAGCTGTAAAGATTCAGAGGTGGAGTATGGCTGAGCCCCTTGGCAATCCAAGGATGAGCTTGTTTCTTCTGTGGCCTCAGTTCATGCAACCTTGTGTTCTCCACGCAGCAAATATCAACCCAGTTGGGAGCTGGAGTGGAGTGACAGGTAGTTGAAGCCATCTTTGCTGTCTTGATCAAGAATCAAAACTTTCCCCTCAATATTTATTTTATTTACGTATTTTAAACTTCCACTGTGATTCTCCCTGACTTGAGGAGGACTCTGCTCATTCTGGGTTAAATGCAAGTGGGTCTCAGAGATACGGTATGGTCCCTGCACCATCCTTGCTGAATTCAGCAACTGAGGGAATGTAACTGGAAAAAAAAACGCATTCAACTGGGAGAAAGTAACTAGAAGAACCTACAGGAACAAGCCTGCTGCTAGGAAACAAAATCTCAAAGCAAACAAAATAAAAACGACAGCAGTGGGTCGTTGAAATGAGAGGGGTGGAGAATAACAGGAAGGGAATAGGAAGCAGTAAGAGCCTTGGGAAGTGGATGTTGTGAGCTGGGACCTGCCTTTATTTACCATGTCTTTACTTCAGCAGGTTTCTGTGCATGTAGGCGAGCAAGGCAGAGAGCATTGGCAGTAGCTGAGTTGTTTCAATGAGTCCCAACAGTGGTGTTTCATCATGTTTTGTGCAAATCTGTTTAGCCTAATAATTTCTGTTATTGGCACGTGATGGAATGCTGCCAAGGAGGCCTGTGGCTGGCTTGTCAAGATTTTATTTAAAGAAAGAAGAGCCTACATGGAAGCTCTCAGCCAATGAGAGGAAATTCAGCCATGTCTCTGGTGAGCTTCTGCATCAGGTGCTGCTCCAACACAGGCATTCATGCCTCTCCGGTCAAAGTTGACATTTATTTTTTCCTCCTTCTGTTAATCTGATCATCTTTCACTGCACCCCAAGTTCAGTGAGAAGCAGCCCTGCCATGCCTTTGTGTGCCTCAAACCTACCTCTGTGAGGTTCAGGAAATTGTTCTTGCTTCCCAGTGATGCTGCAAGGGGAAAAAATAATTTCAGTTTGTCCATGTGCACTTTGATACCGGATCTGACTTCTGGAGACAGAGGTGAAAATACTGTGTTAAACTGATATATCTATACTGGAATGCCTTCCTGTTTGTGCAAAATCTGTTACTACCTTGTGAATTTGTGTAATACCATTAAAGGTTATTATTTTTTGTATGGAATATAATGATGTTGTTATTAATCATTTACCAATATAAATGAGGGGAGGATTGTGCAGCTTTAGTTATGTATTAACACAGTTAAAACATTTTTTTGTAGATGCCTGAAGATTCTAAGTACGGTGAGGTTAGTCATAAAATTATTCAAATAAGTTATTAAGTAACTGGGTGTACAACCTCATTCAAAGTAATGAACATAGATTTCTTTGAAAGCAGTCAGGGATTTCTCTATCTGGGTTTATCCAACAATTGTATTTCTGTTGCTTCTGCTGGTGTTTTCCCTACTGATCAGGAAAACAGTGAGATAAGTTGGTTTTGGTCAACTATGCAAATATGAGAACATAAATGTGCTGAGTTTTGGAAGCAGCAGTCATGTAGTTAACGATATACATTTCTAAGAGTATAGGTATGTACTAGAAGCTCTGTGTATGTGTCTTTGGGACTATAAAGGACTAAATCTGCATGTTTCATCAGCTCTTAATGAGTTTTGTTGATGATTTGGCTGTCTTTGCTTCACAGAATAAGGATGGTTGCTCAGTGGTTTGCCACGGAAGACACTGTCCATGAAGACATTCTTGTGCACAGAAGAGGTGTCCATTCAACTGCTCCCTTATGATGCAGATGCAGTAGGTGACTTTGTTTTAACTCTTTTCTTGTCTCCCCCCACTGTATAAATGCTCAGTATGAATTAACTCAAGGACAAGAGCCCACCTGTAGGTTTTCAAAATCTGTAAGTGGTCTTTCCACCCATTTTTTATTTTCACTTTCTCTGAATTGCCGCCTTTATGAGGAAATTTAATTCCGCAGGGACGCCTTTCACTGACAGTGGTTTAATGTAAGGGAGGGTTTTGGGGTCCCAGCTGGGATTTCTCATGTCCTGTGTGTCCTCTTCAGCCTCAGCCACTTAGTTTGTGGAGCTGTTTTTCAGGTTGTGCTTGTCCACTAACATGTTGTGTAAGAATCCACGTAGCCTAGGAAATGGCAAAAAACCCCACCCTACATAGGCTGGAAAAGCATCAGCAGACATTATAGTGCCAGCTCTGCCAGTGTTTTTTGTGTGCTAACATTATCGCGATTTAACTCCCATCACTAAGTTTTGTACAGAAACAGTTTCAAATTGGATAAATCTCAAATTTTTGCAAATCGGGACTTGGCAGTGGAAGAAATATAACGTCTCCTCTTAGCAATCATAATGTAGTGGGCAGACACTGCATTTTAGTGTAGGATTAAATACTTGTTCCGGCTGTTTTCCTCCTAAACAATCAAACCTACCCACCAGATTGTATTTGGAAGCACTTACTAATGTGATATGTTTTAACTGTTTAGAAAAATGACTGAAAGTTTCAAGATGAGACAACATGAATCATCATCTTCAGCGGCTGTTCACTTTCATGATTGACTTGCCTTCTTCCTACGTTCCATTTAGTCACCCTGGGAATCGCTGAAGCCGTTTTGTGCAGGAGGCATTGCTGAGGTTCCCCTTGCAGCAATGGACTTGGATAAATCCTCCGTCTGGGGTTCCCTGAAACAGAAAACTAGACCATTCCTGCAAAACCTAAGTGTGAAGAAGACAAAGAAGAGGTCTAGCAAAATGGTGGAGAGGAAGGTCCACTCCTTGGACCGACGCCTCAGTGTGTCCGTGCCTGACATGCTTCAGGTGGAGACTTTTACGGAAGAAGAAACAACTTATTCGAGTACTCAGGTGTTGTCGAGCTGCTCCCCCAAGAACTTCTGCAGGTCTATGGTGTCCCCGAAAAGCAGAAGCGCTTCGGTGAGGCTGGCAGGAGAGGACTGGCCATGGGCATCACAGCAGGCAATGCGCACAGAAGTGACCGTCGCCCACCCTGACACACGAGTCATGAGCAGTCCCATGTCCGAAGGGAAGAGGAAATCCAATGAGGACCTCTTTGAGCTGCTGCAGAGCACCCACCTGAGCAGTGCTCTGACGGATGAGGGGGCAGAGGTAGGTGCTTGGGCATCGGCCAAGTCATCATGCTTCTTAATTGTCTGGGTTATAAAGGGATGGAGGAGTGGGCCCTATTCAAGGAATGAATGCGGGATAAAAATAAGCATAAACCATCCATGATATATAAATGATCAGAGGTGAATTCGGATATCCTTTATGTCAGTCTGGAGCTGCAAAATACCCTGCTCCTTTTTTTTTTTTTTTCTTTTTTTTTTTTCCTTCTGGCAAGGTTACAATACTTCATTTTTTAAAAAATTTGTTGGAATTGCATTGCTTAAGTCAAAAGTTGTTGCAGCCTTCTGAGTTCTGAAATGTGCTGCTGATATATTTGCCATAGTTATTCTTTTTAGTTACTATAGCTTTACCAGGATTGCTGTACAGCAAAATCAACTTACTGTTCACTCACTTCAAGACCCAGTTGAAGTCAGGAGGTGAAAAATGATGGGTGAGTGAGCTGAACTCTGCCAGTACCTGGGATTAACCAAAACAAGCACGTGATGGAGAACAGTGAACGTACAGCATCATGCTCAAGGCTGTCCTTTGGGTTGAATTGTGATTAATTAGAGGAGGTGGAAAACCAAAAGGTTTCCTCTGCATTCCCTGTCTTCCCTTCACCCAATCTTTGTGGTTGGTATTGAGTCCAATGTGCTTCATGTCTGACATGAAACTAATTCCTGCCTGGCCTGAGCAAAGTGGGGAATCCTGTGAAGTTGCATGAAGATTTTGTAGTAGAGGCAGCAGGTGAAGATTGTGCCTGCATAAAACATTCTAGGCAAAATTTTTTATTTATGTTTTATGGAATTATATCTTCTCCTGTTGAGTTTTCACTGGGAAGGTTAGATTTTCAACTTTATTTTGAGTCCTTTTTCCCATCACTTAGGTGTTACAGTTCTGGTAGCTGCTTTCCTTACTCATCTGAGATGCAAAAATGGAAAACAGATGTTTTGGTTTAAAGTCCTCCTTTGGGAGTATGATTTCACAGGTTAATTAACATTTTTTTTTAACAGCGTGTTCAAAATGGTGGTTAGTGCTGCTATGGGGAAAATAGTCTTTTCTGGTATAAAACTCCTTGTTCTGCATCTCGAAGGTCTGTGTATTCTTATCAAAGCAGTGTTAGATCCTCGTCTGTTATGATTCAAAGGATCAAACTGGTAGTCATTGAGCACCACTTCCAGTTTAGTGTTGCTGAATTGTTGACATATTGGCTTCAACTTATTGGAATATACCATTATTCAGACTTTTACATAAGAAAAATAGCTGAAATAGTATATAATTTTGTTTCTGTGCTTAAACTTTACTCAGAAGTTGTAGCAACTTGCTCAGTATATTGTAAGTTGGACATTTTGAACATGTAATTATTGTAAGAGTTTTTCCAGGTTGTTTTACTGATAGCAGTAGTTCTTTCCTGCTGTTGTAGACCAGAAACTCTAGCTTAAAATTTACCACAGCAGCACCAAAGGTAATCCTAAATCCTGCTTTGACTTTGGGCAAACTAAGTGCTTTATGAGAAGGAGGTACCGTATGGTGATGGAGTAGCTTAACTTCAAGTTTCCTCCAGACACACAGTCTGAGTCTGGCTTATTCGCTGCAGCATTTAAATCTTTCCCAAAGTGTGTCTTTATATGTGTGTTTGTGTTATAAATCAGTATTTACTTCTATGGCAAAGCACCTTGCTAGGTGAATATCCCACCTTCCTTCCTATAATCTGCCTCCAATTACAACCTTTAAATGCAGAAAGAGGTTTTTTTCCCTCCCTAAAGAATACAGGGCAGAGAGTGAAGCAAAGAAAAGTAGATATAGATAAGGAATATTGAATAAATTTAATTTAAATTTGGTGAAAACCTCAATATTCAGCTTTTCATGTACTTCATTGAACAGCTACAAAATTTACACTCTGCCTCAGATGGGGACAGTTTATCGCAGAGGTTGTTGGGTCTCCTAATACTGGGTGGAGTTGCTGTAAGGAGCGCAACAAGAGCTCATATCATTCTTTTGTGTGCATTGTTCTCTGATCAGTGAGGTAGATGAGAAGGAAGGCAGTTCCCTGGAACAGAACAAATTAAAAAAAAAAGTAAAAATGTAGGTTGAGCTTTTTTTCCTCCTGAATTGCTTGTCACATGCCACCTGCTCATTTCCTGGTTATCTGTGGATATCATCAGATACTTTCTGAGCCTCGTGCATGAGCTCAGTGTGGGCTTGTGGTTTTTTACACTTGTCTAAGCTCTCAGGATGGAGCTGTCAGTGCTCGGAGCATACCATCTTCAGTAAAGCCTCTTGCCACAGGTACCATATTTCCATTTGTAAAACGTTTATTTTTACCTGTTCTCTGTTGCAGCCCAGCTAGGCAAATTTGAAGGAGCAACTGAAGTTGCATTGAACCCTTCCCTGATTGATTTAGGTTACAAAGGACACCATTAATGCCACTTTTTGCAGTCGGGTTTTGTCCGTGGTCATGCGTCATTGCTGAAGTGCTCTAACACCACTTCTTCATTTTCTCACTAACACCCTACAGTGAGTCACTGGCAACCTAAAGCCTTGTCCTGTTGCTGATGCACTCAGTGCCCTTGTATTTTGAATCATCCTTTTGCAGAAAACAAGAGATAAGAGGTTGTAAATCTTGTCAGGAGGAACATTTGATTTATTTTTTATACATATATATGTATGATTATATATATATATGTTAATATATATACTCTTGTTTTATTTGGTTTTAGATGGATACATTTGGGACTATGACCTGTTTGGCGGAAGTAGCCACATTTGTTTATACTTTAAAGTTCAGAAAAGTCACTGTAGTAAGATAAAAATAAAGATTTCAGGACCATATTTTCAGCGAGGCTTTTATTTCTATTCAGTGATCTCGTTGCAATTAGCTGCCTAGACTAATAACAATTTTACATTATGTGGAGTGAAAATGAAAAAAACAAGCTGCTTTTGTTTAAAATTATAATCTTTGTTCGAAATCTGTTGATGTCATTCAAGTAAACAAAAAGCAGAATAAAGACAAAATCATAACTTTGAGGGTAATTTTTTTCTTTTAAATGATATCAAGCCTAGCAGAGAGGGTGCTTTTTTATTATTATAATTTCAATACAATTCTTTGATTCTGTGTTTATGCCATGTAAAACAAGCTGTAAAGAGAAACCATTATCAGTGCCAATGATGGTGCCTGAAGGAGATTCCTGTGAAGCCAGAGACTATGAGAAGTACTAGGTTTAATGCACACAAGTGAGATTTTACGCATACTAGTCAGAAAATTCAAAGTTAGGGTTCCCTTAGCAGCTGTAACTCAGCTCTGTTGTGCGAGAAAACTCTGCTGCTGCTCTTTATGATGATAATTTTTTCTACTTTTAATGTGTTTTTGCAAGGTGGCCAAGTTATGGTTACTGTGGGAACCATAATGTTAAATTTTGTCTGTCATGCAAGTGAAATTTTACTTGCAATGGTGGATTACTGTACTTCCTGATATGTAATATATGCGTTTAGGGGGAGGAAGAGGAGAAGAATTACACAAAAGCATATTTATATTTATTTCAGCATACCAATATCTCTGAGATTTATGACCTCTGGTGCAGGAGCTGGTTCTTTTTTTGTTTTAATGTTTGTATAGTGCTCCACACAATGCAGCTCTCATTGGAGAGATTTGGATGTTACCACACTGCACGTGATAACATTTTCACACGAGGATTGAATTCCACCTTGTGTGTGTTTCTGTAGACTGAGGATATTCTTAGCATAAATCTTTGTATTTGAATGGGCTGTGATTGCCCTGCTCTAGACCAAAAGTTGCCCAGGTGTGTAGGTCCTCTTCAACCAAAATGATGGTCATAAACTGTTCTAGCAGTCAAAATAGCATCAGAGGTGTCTTGACTGGTGAATTCCTTCTGTGTGTTCAGACAGTCTAGATGCTGTGCCACCATAGCCTCAAGTTTTTGGATGAGTCAATATTTAGGAAGAAATGTTTCACTTCCTCTCCTGTGCTGGGGACTAGATAAAAATCTTTTGGGTCTTCCAGTTGCAGCATTAAGGTGGGGGGAAGTACATGTCCAACATCTTTTTTTCCTTTCCCTTTGACCATTTCTTTCTAGCTTCCCCCCTGCCCTACATGCTTTTTTGCTTTTTTTAAATAGGTTTTTTTTTTCTCTTAAAAAAACCCCAAAACAACAACAAAAAGCCCAAACTTCTTCTGGACCTTGCCTTTCGGGTGATGAAGAGAAATTGTAGTCAAGTTGGAGAGCAGCCAGCTCTCCGACCCCAGGGTATTGCTGCTGCTGCCATCCATTCTGGCATTTTTTATTTCATCTTAGCGAGGGCACTTGGAGATTCAACAGATAAAATTCTGCTCAAGAATAGGGGTCAGCATTGCAACGCTAAGTCACCAGATGCAGAAAGCCTTCAGGTATCAGGAGAGTTTGTGGTAAGGACCTTCAGCACTGAAAGCACAGGTCTCTGCTGGGGAGAAGAGGAATTTATTCCACTACCTGGAAGCAGGCACTTATTTTTTTGGATTAGACTCAAGAGACTAAATGCAGTTACTGCAGAACAGGAAAAAGAAATGTATACATAAATCATGCTCGGGAAGGTTTCATAAGCAGAAGAATTCCACTGGTTACACATGTCAGAGTATTTTCTTGATCCCTATATTACTTTTGTCTAATTCTTCGCATCTTTTTTTTTATCTATAGTACCCATCTGGAGAAATGGATCTAGATTCTTCCACATCATCTCAGATTTTTGATGATCAGATGGTAAGTCCTTTAATTTTAAAGCATTTTGAAACTTGATCAGAAGCACAATTTATTTTAGGTTTAGGTTCTTTGCTTTTTGCAAATGTGAAAACCCAGCAGGTGAAGAAACCTTCTATAGATTTCTCCAGTGTGGATTGTTGGGTTTTGTGTTTGTTTAATGTTTTTTTTTTTTCTTCCCTTTTTTTTTCCCCTCTGTAGTACAAAGCAATTGCTAATGCTTTAAATAGACCCAAATGTCTGGATTTTTTTGAAAGTATTTTATAATTTCTATGTTGCACTGGTAACTGATGAGAGCATCAGCATAAATACTCAAGTAGCAACCTAGGAACAAACTGGATTAAAATAAAGACAGCAAATACCTTAACACAACTGTGGGGTTTGTTGGTCAACAAAAACCCAGTTTTAGGGCAGCATGAAAAGGCATTGGCAGTTCTGATACATGCTTTTCTCGTGTAAAGCATATTCACCTATTATGGATGAACTTCTCAACCTTTGCTCTCTAAGAACCTCTCAAGTCCTGTCCAGAGGCTGTTTTCACCGAACGTGTTGACTGGATGATGGTGATGATGAAATGTGTAACCCTGGTCTCTAATGAAGAAGAATCCTCTTGAGTTTTCTACTACAAAACCTCACAACTAGTGTTGCCCACTGTTGTGTTTCTCTCTTTTACAACTTTATAAAGAAATGCTGTCCTCTCAGTAGCTGTATGAAACATGTACTTCCTCGTGAGCTCATTAGATGTGTACGAATGGACTCAACCATGGTTGTTGTGGGTTCTTCCAACTTCAGATATTATGAATGCATGAGAAACAGCTGGGGGGGGTGGGGGGAACCAAACGATGGAGTAAGTTGGTAGGATTTAGAAAACCTGTGGATGAATTTGTGGTAGTTAATAATACCAGTCATTTTCAGGTGTAGCCCTCCTTTTGTTGCCCCTTGGTTTATTGAACACACTTGCTGCTGATCATTTGTTATTTGCATAATGACACAAAGCCTGGAAAGAAATCTTTTTATTTTTTCTTTCTGTAAAAGGTTGCCCTAAGGAAAGATGAGAACTTTGTCTCTGTGAGAGAACGCCTTCTTTATTCATGGTCTGCTTCAGGAGAGGTGCAGTGGTGACTGATTGCTTTGTTCTTCTTAGGCTCTAGAGGAAGCAAATGACTGCTTGAGTGACCTACCCAGCCCCTTCGCCTACCTGCTGACCATCCACCTGAAGGAAGGCCGGAACCTGGTTATCAGAGATCGCTGTGGTGAGCCCCACCTTTCAGCTGATTACCTTTAAAGTTCACACGGATTTCCTTTCACTGACTTCAGTTTGGCAGCAGTTGGCTTCTTTTCTTATCTCTGATCCAACAAGTCATTGATTGTGTCCCTTACCCGGCTCAGAGCACTCAACGGTTGGGTTTATCCAGGTTTATCCACCTTGGATACACAAGGGAGGGAGCTGCCCTCTGCCTGCTGCTCCTCCTGTCTAACTGCGCAGTTGCAAAGCATCGCCTTGGCTGTGTTCAGCCCCTGTGTCTACTCAGGAACTGCAGAGTCATTAATCTTGAGAAATTCTATTTGAGCTTAAAAAAAAAAAAAAAAGCCAAAGTATATTTTGAAATTTATTAAATGATGGAGCTGCTCTAAGAGTACTTTTGGGGTTATCTACAAAAATTTAAATAAAAGAGAAACCATGGGAGCAGAGCTGTAAGCCAACAATCCTCTCTGATGTGGGATGCAACCTAAGGAGGACAATGTTTAAAAAAAAAAAATAAAAAAACCAACCCAAAAAGCCCCCAAAACCCCAAAAATCCAAATGACGTGTCAAATAAATTAGCAAATATGTGGGGAATTCCTGGAAAAACTATGTGAAAGTGCCTGCTGTTAGCTTGACTCTTCTTCAGGCTGTTGCAAAAGGGAATAAAAGTGCTTATGAGCAGCCAGTTGGTAGCAAGAGTGGTTCTGGCAGAGGCTCTGCAGAGACTTGTAGGACTCTGCAGCAGCAGCTGCTTCAGGACCTTTGATCTGAACCTGTCAGAGAGCTCTTCCATATGTCCACTCTTTCTGCATTGGATTTTTTTCTGCATCTGATTTTTTTTTTCTTTATTTAATATTTTTTTTTCTATATGTGGCAACAGTTTTAATACTTTTACATTGCAAAAGGTATGAGCAATTTCTGTCTTTTGAGATGAAGCAATAGGATTTATTCATACAGTTTTAAAGAAAATAAGCTGGCACAGCTTGAAGGCCTGTGAAGGTTTGCATCTGGAGAGACCTGTACGGATTTAGAAACCTTCTCACATGGGGTGCTTATTGTTGGGATTTCCCTTATCTATTATCTCAATTAACTTTTGCCATGCTGGTTTTTCATGTCTTCACCAAACAGTGACTCTTGGCCAAGTATGTGCTTGTCTTTCCTCCTAGCTTTTGGAAGGAGTGAATGAATACTTAGATTAAGATCTGTACTCCTTAAACAGAAGCACATCTTTCCTAACAGTGTAGCAGTTCATCAGATTTACTAGCAAGCTGCACAAGCCAGGACACATCCAGCTGCTTCTATGGAAAAGATGCTATAAATGAGCAATTCCAGCAGAGCAGTATTTCTGAAGAAGACAAAGCATAGTTTGCTCTAGGCTGCATTTTGTTGCATAAGAAAGGAAATGCTTGTCTTGGTGAAGCATTGGACAACTCAGAGAAACAACATAAGGGGGGAAAAAAAAAGCATTTTGATGGGTCTCTCTTGCTTTGTGGCTTGTTTAGTAAACTAAGTATGTGAGGTGGTGCATCATTCAGTAAAATTCCTGTTTGCTTTTGTACATACACTGGGAAGGGAGAGAATAGCGACTTAATGATTATTCTTTAGTCACCCTCATGTTGCAGTGGTGGCTCCTTAAAAAAAAAGAAAGCTTGCTGCTGATGCCCTGATGCACATCTTCATAAGTCTCTGCTGTTTTACTGGTTACTTAGGATCTTTGCGTGACACTCGGGCTTGACCTGCAACCATTGTGCTTCTTGCAATGAGCTTTTACAAGTGGGAAGTTGTCAGCTTTGCTCATCTCTCCAACGTGAGAAAACCTCAGAAAAAACTTGTGTGCCAGGAGAATGTGACTTCCTTCTCCCCCGACCACGACGCCGGATACAGCCACTGTGCTGGGGTATACCAGCCTGCTCCAAATAATTTAAATACAGGAACATGTTGTCTGCAACCAGCGTATCCCACAAGTCAGACTGCGGCTTGGGCTGAAGGCCAAGTTGTCCTCATTCACATTTTGGGAACAGCAAAGCTCTAGAGCTAACTAAGCAATGCTGCCTCATGCAGCTGGAAGAGGGTTTTGGTCCCTCTTCCTCACAGTTTTCCGTGTGCAATGAGGGGCAGGAGCTCTGCAGGAGATAATGCCGAGTTGCTGGTCCTGTGTTTTATGTGTGTGTTGGTGTTTGCAACCTCCTCTGGTCAGCTTTGTGTGAGCAACTGCAAAAATGCTCTGGTGTTGGGTAGGAGTGGTGGCAGAGTTTGTAGGTACAACTAGCAATGTCCTCCTTTTATTCAGATAAAGTGGTCGTACCCAGCAGTAATTTCTTGTCTTGTCATTGATGGAAACTATCTCCAAATACTGTGTGGAGTATGCTGTCCATCTCTGCTGGTTTTGACTGGGATAGAGTTAATTTTCTTCATCGTACCTAGTATGGGCTGTTCTGGATTTGTGCTGGAAGCGGTGCTGGTAACGCAGAGATGTCTTTGTGATTGCAGAGCAGTGCTTACGCAGTGTCAAGGCCTTTTCTGCTTCTCACACCACCCCATCAGCAAGGAGGCTGGGGGTGCACAAGAGGTTGGGAGGGGACACAGCTGGAACAGCTGACCCCAACTGACCAAAGGGATATTCCCTAATATATGATGTCATGCTTGGCATATAAAGCTGGGGGAAGAAGGAAGGAGATGATGTTCGGAGTGATGGTGTTTGTCTTCCCAAGTCACAGTTAGGCATGATGGAGCCCTGCGTTCCTGGAGATGGCTGAACACCTGCCTGCCCATGGGAAGTGATGAATGAATTCCTTGTTTTGCTTTGCTTGCACATGTGGCTTTTGCTTTACCTGTTAAACTTCCTTTATCTCAACCCATGAGTTTTCTCACTTTGACCCTTACAATTCTCTCCCCCATCTCACTGTGGGGGGGAGTCAGTGAGCAGCTGCGTGGTGCTTAATTGTCACAATATTATAATGACAGAATGTTCACATGAAAACCATAGACTGAGTGAAGAGTGTATGCCAACATCTTTAGCCTACATCAGGTTTAACATGTTTTGTGATTTCCCTAAATTTTAATATTTGGTTATTATAATAGCAGCAATTGTTCTGAAAAAGGTCTCACAGCACTCATCAGTTTATATTTTTTTGGGGGGGGAAATTCTGTATCTACTCAAAGATAAAGAAAATAGTGCTTCAGTGTGGTGTCCTACCTTCTTCTCCTGCATGCACTTTTCCCTTTAATTTTAACTGACCACACTTTAAATAGTTGAGGCTGAAGGAAGGCATCTCAGAGGAAAACAAAAAATGACAAAATGCAGTTTAGGGGACATAAAGGTTCATAGGTCTCCAAGTTTAGAAGACTTGACTGAAACTTGTTTCATACATTTTCTTCCTCTTTTTTTCTGTTGTATAGGGTTTTAGCATAGTTTTCATATCCTAAACTTATTCCTGAAGTTATTGCGGAGTACGAACCATTAAGGTTGTCCTACAATCCGGTTCTTAGGGTTGGACTTGATGATCTTAAACGTCTTTTCCAATCTAGAATGATTCTATGATAAGGTGTGTGGTCGATGCCCCCTCTCGTGGCCACTCCTTGCAGCCACCCGAGCCATGGCCATCATCTTATGGCTGTTATCTCAAATCTATCTCACGGTTTCCTCCTGCTCAGCTGCTGGCTTCATCAACTGCCACCACTTCAGAGCTGGGTGAGGATGCAGCAGCTTTAGTTGTATTGTGCATTTCAGCTCTCTAGTAACTCTGAGTGCCAGAAGGGATGCTTGAGTATCCCTTGAGTACTTGAAATTCAAGCAAACAGAGTAAAGTCTCTTTTATTGTCATTCACTCTTTGTTTCTGCCTCTATTTTGTCCCAATGTAAGAAGTATATATCTCTGTGCGTGTGTCTATAATATATAAAAATAAATCTAAGGTGTGTGACAAAGGAGAAATACTTCTGCCATTGGAAGCAGCTGTTGCTGGAGACTCCTGGTTCTACTTAGCAAATTCATGGGGCTCACCCTGAATTTACTCTTCTATGCTTAACAGTTATTAAGTAGGAATTAATTACACTTGGCTGACTAAAGGTGAGCAGTAGTTCTGCCAATAACTGCAGGCTATAGGACCGACATGTGACTTTACTTTTTCCCAACTTTCCAGGTATTTTTCCAGACTTTTTGACTCGCTATGTACTGCTCTTTCTGGGATATGTTCCCTTTGGTGTGATTTAAATTCCTCCTTCACTTTACCAGATTTTTATTACTCCTTTTATTTTGTTTTTTTCCCCTTCATAACATTATCCCTGTTAACATCTCCTCTTTCATATTTTTCTCTTCAATTTTTACCTCTTGCACTGTTTTTTGTCTCTGTTGCATCTCTCCAGTCCCTGACTATAGCTGCTCTCCTTGTACCTGCTGAGCTGTGTGTGCTTCCTGTGAAGTGCATAAGCAATGCAGGGGAAAAAAAATAAAAATGAAGTTGCAGTGTTTTCTTCTCCTCCGTTATCATTTGTTTGTTTGTTTTGGGTTTTTTTGAAGTTCAAGAGAAAGAAAAAGCCTCCATATAGCAACACCCAATATATGTACCCCTGCCAAGGAAGCCAAGTGCTGTTAGAGCAGGATCTTGGTTCTGGTGGAAAGGCTCTGAAAAATCCCTCTTTTGGGTCAAAATTGCAATATTCCCTCCTAGGGATGCAGGATGAGAGAGGTGTTAGCTGTTGGTCGTCAGCTTGCTTGGAGTCTGATTTACATGCTTCTTGGGATACAGACTAAGTCAGATGTTAGAAGCTGCATAAGCAGATGGTAAGTTTACCTGTATGTACCTTTGGTGCCTGGTTTTAGATGGTGCATCAGTCCTGTATTTATTCTTGTAACTGATGAACCAAACACTACAGTCTGTATACAATACCAAACAATACACAATACCAAAAGTTTGATTTTTGTGTATTTTTTTGTAGTATTACTGTTACTAGATGACATGATGCATCTTGGTGATGGTGAGGAGTTGGTGATCTATGTACTTTTAATA